TCAACATCGGACTCGATGACCAATTAGTGCTTACTGAACCGTAGCACTATGCAAATGTCATGTGGCGTGATTCCCGGCCGACCAATTAGCCATCACCAGCCGTAACGTTATGCAAATCTGTGATTCCCAAGCCAAAGTCTTATGCAAATCATGCCGTGTGGCGTAATTGTGTGCTGACCAATCAGTGGCTGTAATTTAAAAAAGCCAACGGCCACTTTCAATCATCTGGCGATGACCGTTACGACTAAAAAAAAACTTCGCTATGTCTTACTTTCAGGGGGAGGTCTTATATTTCGCAATTCAGCAAAATCTGTGCTAGGTCTTATTTTCTGCGGATGTCTTATTTTCGGGGAAACACGGTAGTAGAACGATATACTGAAATACATTTTTTCTTACAGATCTTAATCTTCACGAAAAGATTTGGAAAAGTCCCATTATGTATATGTGCCAGTGGCTACTTCAATGTTACGAAAAAGTTTCCAGTCAAGGTACTATTAAAAATGTTTTATTTACAATTTGGTAAACAACCTTTATTTTATTTCTTTAAACTCTTATTTTAGATAAGAAACGCTATTCATTCTATATTTTCGGGTCTTCTGAAACTCAGTACGTCCTCTAGAAATTGAAAAATTTTTCATCTAGGCATATGCCATAGAAACTGCAAAACACGTAATTGCTTTAACAAACATGTTGAAATATTACAATTGTCAAAGTTTTATTTTAATTTATATAAAGGTGTGGAGGTAGATGACATATGAAAAACAATATTAAAAAACTTCTTGCCAACTTCTTTAATATTGTTATTAGCAGGAAAATAAGTATTGAGTATTGAAAATCTTACGTATTTTTTCGGCAGTTTTATTTTTCTTCTTAAAACAATTTTTAATTAATCTTATAACATTATTCCGTTTTCGCTTTTTATGTACTCAATTTTTTAAANAATATTAAAAAACTTCTTGCCAACTTCTTTAATATTGTTATTAGCAGGAAAATAAGTATTGAGCATTGAAAATCTTACGTATTTTTTCGGCAGTTTTATTTTTCTTCTTAAAACAATTTTTAATTAATCTTATAACATTATTCCGTTTTCGCTTTTTATGTACTCAATTTTTTAAAACAAGAAATTATTTCAAAAGTTTTGAAAAGTTTATTGTGATATTGAAAACAGTTATATATGTAAATACTGCACTGTTCCCGATTGATAGTTTAATTTTTACTTCGCCGGATCTGTTATATATAACAGAGGGAAAGTATGGCGAATCGGTCAAAATTTATTCATTTTTAGACTCTGCACGTTGAAACGTCGAAAAAGTACGAAATAATTCGAATTTTTTATGTANTAATTCCATGTGGCCAGCTTGTTGGTAAGGTGCGAACTCTCGACCAGACTTCACTGCTTTTATCCACTTGATAAATAACATTATAGGGATCTGAACTATCTGTTTCAGCAAGAGTTGTTACTATATTATACTGCCAAAAAATTACACCATACTTTTTGTGTGTTTTCGTAACATCTTAAGTCACTGTTATATTCTGTTTCTATATCTGTACGTGTATAACCACATTTTAGTAATTATACTTAAATATTTTAGATTGATTCGTAAACACTCTNATTCCGCCAATAAGAAAACCGGCAGTTAAGGATATGAATGAAGTACAAAAGAGAGCTTCCCCATGAAATTTTTGCTTCATTTCTATGTAAGGGTAGGCAACTACAGTGGCCGAAATTTGATGTAAATCAATGGCTAATATTATACCAAGGGAAAAGAGCAGAGTAACATATTGTAATGAGATGTTATTTTCGTTAATCATTTTTATTCGAAAATATTTATTCCTTAATGGCTTTTTCAAATTGAATTTGTTGCCTTTGATAAATTGGAATACAATATCATAAATGATAAATAAAACAGAAAACACTATGTTAAATAACATGAAGTTTTTTTCGTATACCTCATGCCAACCGATACATATCGCATATTCATTGATTACTGGGATTACTTGCCATATGAGAAGAATTGTATATCCGCGTAAAGTCAGTTCGATAAATCGAATATAGATATTCTTTAATTTGGTATTTTGAAATTTTCTCCCTTTCTTTGAGCATTTACAATTACAAGTTTCAAATGCATCCAACCCAAATATAAGAGCAGTTGTCCAACAAGGGCTGATAAAACAGCTCAAACATACCTCTTGTAAATTCGAACTCATGCTCAGTCTGTATTCGTGTCTACGTTATTCAGGACAAAATGAAACTGTTTATGGAAATACTGGTTACGTAAACTCATCGTCTCGGAAAATTTTATACTGCCATTAATAACAACAATAATAATGTATTCCAAATTAAAATTTAATGGGATAGTGAATTAAATAAATTAATTCTCTTTGGCTAGCAATTCCTTTATAAAGTTAATGGATAATACATCAAAAATCCATTGCAAATATAATTATTTATAACAACAGAAAATCCAATTTTAAGTGGCTTTTATGTACTTTTACATCAGGGTAAATAATTAAATTTACATTCTGAAAACTATTCCAAACTTTTGATAAGTATTTCTAAAGAATCTGCAATTTTAATGATATTTTAATGCATTGATCGGTATATTACATACTTTTGTCCTTAACAATTTTAAATTCCTTAGAAATAGATGATTTAATCGCCGAGTCAATCCATTATGAGCTATATGCTCATCTTATTGGAAATGATATGAAGTTCAATCAAACGATAAAATTTTAGAAATGATATTGTATATATTATGTAGTGTTAAACAAATAAATCATCATGTTTCTTATTACACTTTCTTTATAAAAACTTTCTTTTAAAAAATTAACTTATTGTACACTGATTGTAAATACAATAAGAAATGTTCAAGAAAGTACAAATAACACATGTGTTTGTATAAAAGACAGTTAAATTTGCACAGTTGCACTCTGAATATGTAAGGATATATAAGTTGTTCCAATCTTATCAAATAGGAAAATTTCTAAACTGGCAGAATGCAAGGAATGTAGTGTTAGTGAAGTAGACAATGTCAAGTCTCAACTTCATGACAAAACTAAATATTAATTTGTAGCAAGAAAATAAATCAAAACGAAGTGATTAAAAAAATAGGGACGTTTGTTGTGTTAGTTCAGTTTTATACAGAAAAAAATGAACAAAAATTACATTGAAGCCAGACTTGTTTTAAAAATTATGAAATAAATCGTAATCGTTAGTACAGTTGTAAAAAACTACGAAGATAATAAAAAAATTAGAAATAAGTTACCGTGATATCTAATTTTAAATAATTACGAAGTAAGAAACATCCAAGATCGAGTAGTTCTAATAGAAAAAGGTGTAGTGAAAAGAAATTTTGGAAAGCTTCCTGACAGAAGAAAGAACAGAAATTATTAGAATTTCGTTATATCCAAATATGCGCTGTCCCTAGATTAATGGCACCATTAGGTATCAAAACGTTGTGTCTTATTAACGCAACGTCTTGATGCCTAATGATGCTGTCTCTTTCACTACTGTGATCGCTGATTATTATCAGCGATCACAGCAGTGAAAGGAAGATTATATAGCTTGTGTAGTTAAACAGATCTGTGAGTCGCACGTGTAGCGTAATACAATTACTCATGACACCATATTTATCCTGTTCATATACATTTAATTATCAGTTAAANCTCTTATATTTGGGTTGGACGCATTTGAAACTTGTAATTGTAAATGCTCAAAGAAAGGGAAAAAATTTCAAAATACCAAATTGAAAAATAGCTATATTCGATTTATCGAACTGACTTTACGCGGATATACAATTCTTCTCATATGGCAAATGATCCCAGTTTGTGTAGTTAAACAGATCTGTGAGTCGCACGTGTAGCGTAATACAATTACTCGTCACACGATATTTATCCTGTTCATATACATTTAATTATCAGTTAAAAATTAAGCTTATTTTCTTTACTATCATTATTCCAAACCTGAATAATAACGAAAATCTCGTATAATGAAATGTTTTCAACTTCAAAGACAAACCTATACATTCTTAACTGTATTTACTCGTTATGTCATAGTGTAATTATTATTTTTATTTAGAGGGTTGTGTTTCAGTATCCACTTCAGTCTTTACGTAACTTCGATAAAAATTAACAAATGAGATATTGTTGAATGTACTGTACTTCTACTGTACTACATGATATCTCTTTTCGTTCTTACTCTAATTTTTTATGTTATCTCTTTCTCTTTCTTCATTCATTTTTCGTTTTATTTCTATTTTCGTCATTTATATTTACCAAGTATGTACAATGACAAATAGACTGTGTTTACGTCATATTACATTTAAAGACAACTGTTTTTTTTCCTATAACAGTCCTTCGGGAATTTTTTTCTGGTAAATATACTTATTTTCATGAATTTGAAAATAACACAGTAGTCATATTAATCCTTATTTTATTTGTCGTTTTACTCTCAATCGTATGCATTTTAGTGGGTTATGCATGTTCAACATTTACGCCTACCGAATTTTTTTAAAATATTATGATGAGTTACTTATATTACATTTAATTGTTTTTTATATTTTTTAGATGCAGACTTCAAGTTATTCGTAGATTTTCTGAGTTCGATTTATCGCTCGAACCGAAACTAAAAGTGAGTACGGTAACTTTTTATAATATGTCGTACTATGAAGTATTATTATCTAAATATATAAAATTGCTTGTCCTGACTGACTGACTGAATGACTCACTAACTCACTGATTCATCATCGCCTAGAGCAGACCGCTTAACCTAAAGAGGTGAACAATAAAAATATAAAACAATGGGATCAGTGAAATTTCTAAAAATAAAAGATTATCTTTAGATAAGATAAACGAGTAAAAAATAAAACACTCTTTCTTAAACCGATTTCGAGTGATTTATATCAGCGGACAAATAATTAACAAAGATACTATACTTTAGCCAACGTTATTTCTTTTATTATTTTAAAATTTCTTAATTTAAAGAATTTTCCAAAAGGTTCTCCAAATGCATTTCGCCATTACAGCCTCATTGGTGGATTATCTAACAACAAGCAACTCATTACTTTATATACAAATAAATTTTTTCCAGCATTCATCAACGTTTAGACCGACATTCTGATTTAACAAATTTGCATGTTCAACAATACAAAAGTACTCTACTACTCGTCTTTTAAACCAATTTTCTATTTATATAATATTTTTACAGAATTTTTATCAATTTTACAATCATAATTACTAGTGTTGAAACCAAGGTGACACTTGTCTTTTTAGACGAATCGCTGCTTCTTGTTCTTTTAGGCGTGTCTCGAGCCTTCATCCCGTTTCTCCAACATATGATTTTGCTTGCAAACAATCACATGATACTTTGCAAACCACTCCTGCGACGTCAAGCTGATTTCTTACTTCATTTTGACTTTTAGTATTTATATAATCGACATTTTGTTTTCCTGCTTCGCCACTACACATATAGAAAACTTTTTAAATATGGGTTTATATCGTTCATAAAGATTATATATATAAGGCATTTTAACATAAGTATTATTTATACAATTTTTTACATTATATCTGTAATTTATAAAAAAATTATACCACTTACAAATTTTACTCTTTGGATAGTCATTCAATAAATATTTTCTGAATAATTGTTTAATTTCTTTATTTATATCTTCCTGAAGTGATGTTCTGTTTAGTATTTTCCTCAATTCCATAGTAAAAACATTTCTCTTCGTGTCTATAGGGCAATAAGATTTATAACTAATTGTTTTTTCTGTATTACGTAATTTTTCATACTTACGAAACATCAGTTGCGTTTTCTCACGTTTAATAGTCACATCCAAATAGTTTATTTCCTGATTCTGTTCTAATTCACTAGTAAATTTTATATTAGGTTTTAAGTTATTTGTATAATTTTCAATTTCATGAGGTGTTACTACACAGGAATAAAAAATAATTAATATATCGTTCACATAACGAGCATAAAATTCTATACCTGGAACTTGTGATATAGCACCATCAATTGATTCTATACAAATCTCTGCTAATTTAGGTCCAACTACTGATCCAATTGATATTCCATTTTTTTGGCGAAAAAAATCTGTATTAATTTTAAAATAATTATTTGTCTGCTGATATAAATCACTCGAAGTCGGGTTAAGAAAGAGTGTTTTATTTTTACTCGTTTATCTTATCTAAAGATAATCTTTTATTTTTAGAAATTATATTTTTCTAAAGAGGTGAAATTTGGTAGACAGTTAGGGTACGTCATGGAAACGCACAGTAAGAAGGGATTTTTCGAAATTCCTCCGCAATGGGAGAGGAGAGGATTAAGGCTTAACCAGAACAACGGCTTTTACTGTACTGTTTTAGATGCGATTTTTTGTTTTTATCTGCGTTTTAGTAGGGTATGCCATGAAAATGAACACTAAGAAGGGGTTTTTCGAAATTCTCCCGCAAGCGAGAGAGGGAGAGGTTTTAGTCTTCATCGAGTACTTAGGTGTATTCAATTAATAACATTTCAGACATTGTTATAAATACTTTTATGTATTTCGATTTTCAAAATGTTCGAACCGTTTTAAATTCGAATTTGTTATTGCGTATTGGTTCGATTATAGAACGATTGTAAACGTTCCAGAAAATTGATCAAATTGAAAATAGTTCGTTTCATTCTCGGCGATTTCCATCATTCTCAGCGGTAGGTGTTATATATCAATTACTATGGTTGTTGAAATACTGAATATAAATGGGGTTTGCTTGCAAAATCCGCGCGGGCAAAGCCGCGAGTAACAGCTAGTTAATTATATTTAGTTCTTACAGATCTTAAGTTTCATTAAAATATTTGGAAACGAGCCGTTATGTATATTAGTAAGAGGCAATTTTAACGTTACGAAAAATTTCCAGTAAAGGTAAGTTTATTTTATTTTTTAAATTGTTTATCTGCAGATTTCTTTACATATACTATTTTAATTTTTTATACGTAAAATCATTTCTATAGTTGTCCAACGCATTTTATTCTCTATTTTCTGGTCTTCTAAAACTTAGGTCGTCGTCTACATTTCTTGTAAAACGTTCTTCTAAAACATTTCTTCTAAAATGGAACACATTGCTCTAAAACGTAGGTCGACGTAGACGACGACCTACGTTTTAGAAGACCAGAAAATAGAGAATAAAGTGCGTTGGACAACTATAGAAATGATTTTACGTATAAAAAATTAAAATAGTATATGTAAAGAAATCTGCAGATAAACAATTTAAAAAATAAATTAGACCTACCTTTACCGGAAATTTTTCGTAACGTTAAAATAACCTTTTACTGATATACATAATGGCTCGTTTCCAAATCTCTTAATGAAACTTAAGATCTGTAAGAACGAAATATAATTAATAATATTAGTTCACAGTACGAGATATTATAAAAAGTTACCGTACTCACTTTTAGTTTCGGTTCGAGCGATAAATCGAACTCAGAAAATCTACGAATAACTTGAAGTCTGCATCTAAAAAATATAAAATAATTACTTTATATACAAATAAATTTTTTCCAGCATTCATCAACGTTTAGACCGACATTCTGATTTAACAAATTTGCATGTTCAACAATACAAAAGTACTCTACTACTCGTCTTTTAAACCAATTTTCTATTTATATAATATTTTTACAGAATTTTTATCAATTTTACAATCATAATTACTAGTGTTGAAACCAAGGTGACACTTGTCTTTTTAGACGAATCGCTGCTTCTTGTTCTTTTAGGCGTGTCTCGAGCCTTCATCCCGTTTCTCCAACATATGATTTTGCTTGCAAACAATCACATGATACTTTGCAAACCACTCCTGCGACGTCAAGCTGATTTCTTACTTCATTTTGACTTTTAGTATTTATATAATCGACATTTTGTTTTCCTGCTTCGCCACTACACATATAGAAAACTTTTTAAATATGGGTTTATATCGTTCATAAAGATTATATATATAAGGCATTTTAACATAAGTATTATTTATACAATTTTTTACATTATATCTGTAATTTATAAAAAAATTATACCACTTACAAATTTTACTCTTTGGATAGTCATTCAATAAATATTTTCTGAATAATTGTTTAATTTCTTTATTTATATCTTCCTGAAGTGATGTTCTGTTTAGTATTTTCCTCAATTCCATAGTAAAAACATTTCTCTTCGTGTCTATAGGGCAATAAGATTTATAACTAATTGTTTTTTCTGTATTACGTAATTTTTCATACTTACGAAACATCAGTTGCGTTTTCTCACGTTTAATAGTCACATCCAAATAGTTTATTTCCTGATTCTGTTCTAATTCACTAGTAAATTTTATATTAGGTTTTAAGTTATTTGTATAATTTTCAATTTCATGAGGTGTTACTACACAGGAATAAAAAATAATTAATATATCGTTCACATAACGAGCATAAAATTCTATACCTGGAACTTGTGATATAGCACCATCAATTGATTCTATACAAATCTCTGCTAATTTAGGTCCAACTACTGATCCAATTGATATTCCATTTTTTTGGCGAAAAAAATCTGTATTAATTTTAAAATAATTATTTGTCTGCTGATATAAATCACTCGAAGTCGGGTTAAGAAAGAGTGTTTTATTTTTACTCGTTTATCTTATCTAAAGATAATCTTTTATTTTTAGAAATTATATTTTTCTAAAGAGGTGAAATTTGGTAGACAGTTAGGGTACGTCATGGAAACGCACAGTAAGAAGGGATTTTTCGAAATTCCTCCGCAATGGGAGAGGAGAGGATTAAGGCTTAACCAGAACAACGGCTTTTACTGTACTGTTTTAGATGCGATTTTTTGTTTTTATCTGCGTTTTAGTAGGGTATGCCATGAAAATGAACACTAAGAAGGGGTTTTTCGAAATTCTCCCGCAAGCGAGAGAGGGAGAGGTTTTAGTCTTCATCGAGTACTTAGGTGTATTCAATTAATAACATTTCAGACATTGTTATAAATACTTTTATGTATTTCGATTTTCAAAATGTTCGAACCGTTTTAAATTCGAATTTGTTATTTCGTATTCGTATTGTATGCGTTTTAGTAGGGTATGCCATGAAAATGAACACTAAGAAGGGGTTTTTCGAAATTCTCCCGCAAGCGGGAGAGGGAGAGGTTTTAGTCTTCATCGAGTACTTAGGTGTATTCAATTAATAACATTTCAGACATTGTTATAAATACTTTTATGTATTTCGATTTTCAAAATGTTCGAACCGTTTTAAATTCGAATTTGTTATTGCGTATTGGTTCGATTATAGAACGATTGTAAACGTTCCAGAAAATTGATCAAATTGAAAATAGTTCGTTTCATTCTCGGCGATTTCCATCATTCTCAGCGGTAGGTGTTATATATCAATTACTATGGTTGTTGAAATACTGAATATAAATGGGGTTTGCTTGCAAAATCCGCGCGGGCAAAGCCGCGAGTAACAGCTAGTTAATTATATTTAGTTCTTACAGATCTTAAGTTTCATTAAAATATTTGGAAACGAGCCGTTATGTATATTAGTAAGAGGCAATTTTAACGTTACGAAAAATTTCCAGTAAAGGTAAGTTTATTTTATTTTTTAAATTGTTTATCTGCAGATTTCTTTACATATACTAT